TCAGCAAGCTAATCTATAGTTGTTTGGTTGCATGCATTGTCTAACCGTGGCTAGCATTGGGTGTGTATGGTTGTCTAGTTTGTTTTGCATAGAATTACCTCTTCTTTGTTCTGGTAAGGTTACCTCTTCTCAGACATTTCGTCGAACACCTGATCTGCATGCTCGAACACCACCAAGACATGGATGTCGCCGCCTGTAAACAAGAGCAGCTGTCGCCGCCAAGAGCTGGATATCGGCACCCGTAAACACCACCAAGAGCAGCAGTGCCGGCAGCAGTAGTGAGCGTGCCTGGACCCGAAGAGCAGTTGTTGCCGCGCGGTCGAAGAAGAGGGGAAGGAGGCAGGGGCGCCATTGGAGGGGTCACCGGCTGGAGCAGCCGAGCTCCGCGGCGGTCCGAGAGCGGATGAGAGCCCGCGCCCGTGCCGTGGATGCTCGCTTGCGCCCGCGCGTGGTGGTAGGCGACGGCTCCGGCAGAGTGGCTCGGCGCAGATCCGACGAGTACTCGATCACGCCACCGGAGCTCCATGGGCAGCTTGCACCGTTGCCCTTCTCGCATCGTCACACACCAAGAACTGGGAGGTGACGGGAATGCCAACCGGGTGCTTGGCCAAGCCAGGCTCCAGAAAACGAGCTCCACCAGCATTCTGTCCTAGCCAGGCCAGGGGCTTATGGATGGCCTTCCGAAGCCAGGGCACAGCACACAAGCCTATCTTGGCTCCAGGGAACTAGACTAGAAGTTAGCCACCTAACCAAACACACCCTATGTTCATTTGGCTCTGGAGTTAGTTGGTGCCTCTATAACAAACTAATCCAAAAATTGGCTGTGGCTAAACATGGGCCATGCGTGCCGAAAGCTTGGACAAAATTTTGATGCTTGCTTCAAAACCATACCAAAATATGGCCAAGGCTAGAAAAATATTTGTTTGGACTAGCCATGCCTAATTTTGTCGCACGCTTTGAATATGACGTGCCGTGTCTATATGCCATTATTTCAATTTTTTTTTAAAATTTACACAGTCCAACGCAAACGCTGGCAACGTACGTATACTCACCCCTACAAATGCATGCATGCAAGCCCTAACCCTATGAGCACCATCGAAGGCCGAGCTGGCAAATACTGGAGACGAGATTGACAAAGTCCCCCACATGCGTCTCGCTGTCGACGTGAACGTCACCTATCAGTGAAAACGCAAAGCCGTTAAATCTTTGCAAGTCACTCCCACGGGGAGTTGAACCAGGACCACATATACTACCGTGGCTATTGTAACCACCGGGCTATATGCCCTTTTGCTATATGCCATTATTTCTTCTTTGAAACATAGACATGTGAGACCTTGTTTTGTAGAGAGAATCATAAAGAATAATAAAGAAGTGACGAGAAATAGATATTAGTATTTTCAGTTTGATAATTCAAAAAAAATCTAGAATAATACTGCAAAGTTGTTGGCCGATCCACATCTAAGGGGTCGGTGATGCGTGATGACTGATGGAGACATATATAGACCAACTGACCTGGCATGCATGCACCGGAATTATTGGGCCAGCAGCCCCGATGGACAAACCAACATGGTCCTTCCATTAAAGCTCCCTTTAGCACGGCTCATCCAAAACAGCTTCACCGGTGAAGCCAAAGCTGGTGAAGTAAGAAAAACTGGCTTTTTCCGACTTCTAGTTCATTTTAACCCCGGCTTACAAAACGACTTCACGCTACAGTGCCTCGATTTGTGCAAAATAGATGAAGCCGAAGCCGGCATAAGCCGTACCAAAGAGGCCCTAAATTTCTATACTATCGCCGGGGGGCCCGGCATTGCTATCTATAGTGTTTGACACACACACGACAACACTGGCCCCGCCATCCTACCATCACGTTATATAATTGCTAGCTATCGCTAGGTACCATCACCAACTATAAAAAAAAGCCCCGCACTCTCAGGCCGTTTGAATTTATCAGCCGACTTATTAGCTAGAATCTACAGTATTTTTCTCTCACGATAAATTAACTTTAGCCGGCTTATCGGCCGGCTTTAATACCAGCCAAATAGGGCCCTGCTGCTACCTGGTGGCGATATCCAACTGAGATCCACTGAGACTAACTTCAACAACATCACCCAAAATATAAGACCCATTCTACGTTTGGGTAGCGCTACAGGGAAGAATTCAACACCCATTTTTAGTCTTCTCCAACAACAGGGTTCAAAAGAGAATCCTTATGAGTCTCAACTGATATTTGATCCACTGAAGAAAAATGGGTCTCACATATAAGTATTACATTGAGGGGTGATCTGATACCATCCAAGACCCATTTTGGGTTTGGGTGCCCGTATGAGTCATCTGTTGGAGACAGTCTGAGAAGAAACAAGGGGTGTGTACAGCTTCGTTACATCTCTGCTGTATTTCTATATATTTCTTTGCTTGCTTTGCTTAATGATGATGATATGATGAGCTCTATCCATGTTCTCAAATTACATTGGCTTGCTTTCCTTACTACTGTAGTGACTGCCTACACAAGTTAGCAATTTTTTTTCTTGGCTTTAATTAACTTGCCTTCCTCTTCCTTTGCACGCACGATTTAGTACTATTATATATCATATATACATACACAGATGCTCTGCTTTGCAAGGAAGGAAACACATAACGGATCGGAGCAGATCACAACCCAAATGCCATGTATGCAAGGGTGCGATTGAGATAGGTGAAGGTATGGAAATTATTATTATTATTATATATACCCAGACCAAGATAACATGGGAGCAGGAAGGAGACAAGAAAAATAACAGGAGAGCAACTGACGCCGAAGCAGGGAGGGAAGTGGAAGCGATGTAAGCAACTCTAAAGTAAGGCATAACTTGCCATGTGCGCAACTCTGACCTGCTGACGGCATGCATGCTGTCTGTGTACAAATTAAGCAATGCAGTACGTGCATTTATCAGTTCCAGAAGCAAGGAAAAGAACAAACTATCAAGCAAGCACAAATTAAGTTATTATTATAGTTAATTAACAGTACGTGCATTTATCAATCATCAAGCAAGGCATAACGTGTATGCAAGGGTGCGATTGACGAAGATAACATGAGAGCAGGAAGGAGACGAGAAAAATAACGTGAGAGCATCTGACGCTGAAGCAGGGGAGGGAAGTGGAAGCGACATACGCAACTCTAAAGTAAGGCATAACTTGCGATGTGCGCAACTCTGACCTGCTGACGGCATGCATGTTGTCTGTGTACAAAAAAAAACCCTGCCGCGAGTTTCCAGAAGGAAGGAATTGTAAGTGAGACAGAGCAACTCTAAAGTTTGGTTCTTAAGAGTGTGTAAGCCCTTGTTTAGTTCGCGAAAAGTTTTCTCAAAAAATGCTATAGTACCCATCACATCGAATCTTGCGATACGTGCATAGAGCATTAAATGCAGAAGAAAAAAAACTAATTGCACAGTTTGGTTGGAAATTGCGAGATGAATGTTTTGAGCCTAATTAGTCCATGATTGAACACTAATTGCCAAATAAAAACGAAAGTGCTACAGTAGGCAAATTTCCAACTTTTCACCCACTAAACACAGGCTAACAAGCATTGTATCTTCGTCTCCTTTCTTCCATTAACATAGCGGCTGTGGTGGCAGATGTATTGCCTTTAACAAAAGCGGCTGTGGTGGCAGTTGTCAACAGCGTGGAAACCCAAGCTCTCCGTCTACCTAGATCCAAAGCCCAGTATCAGTTCCAGAAGCAACGAAAAGAACAAACTATCAAGCAAGCACAAATTAAGTTATTATTATAGTTAATTAACAGTACGTGCATTTATCAATCATCAAGCAAGGCATAACGTGCGTGCAATATATATAACAGCAGCATGCTGGTTCCATTCTAAGTTTGGTACTCGATTCTTGTAGTGTGTAGCAAGGATTGGATCGTCGCCTTTTTTTTTCCATTTTCCAGCTGGTCCATCTTATATATATATAAGCTAAGGCTCATGCCTGCTGCCTTGCCATTTGCCTTACACCCTCAAGTGCAGTTAGCCCAACTGAGACGCAAGCAGTACCTGCAAATTGAGGTGCCTCGATCCATCCTCTATCCCGAAACTATATATGCAGTGAATACTTTAAAGTTCATTTCTGTAATGTCTTCTTACTTGCTTGCTTGCATTGTTCGACCATCCTTTTCCATTATATTCTCTAAACTTCACCTATATCTGTATTTAGAGAACCATGCCATAAATATTTCCCACGTATATCTCTAGGTTTTGTTCTGTATACTGTAATACCTTATCACCATTTTTCTTGGGTGAAAATTTCATGAGAGAACTACCATATCTTGAATTTATAGAGCAGTGTAGCCTCGCCATTTTCATCAAAAGCGTAGCCTCTCTATTGATGGAGAGTGAGAAGGGTGGTTTTAGATTGCAAAAGAGATGGAGAGTGCTTTAGAGAGTCTATAGGAGTCTGGCTTATTGTTTTGTTTTCTAAATTTTATGATAAAGCGGTGTGTAGAGATCCTCTTGGAGAAGTTTGTTTCTCTTGCTAGCTATACATGCATGCATGTTCTATTCACATTAATGCAGGATCATGCCTGTAAAATGTATCTGTAGCGAATCTACATGTTAACTGCAAGTTCTATCCTTCTAAAAAAAGGGAAAAAAGAATGAACGAAATAGGTAGCTTGAGCGAGGCTGGTTCTTTTTCAGCGTTAGTTTTAAACTCCCCACTGCTCGCCTTTTGGTGTAAGTATAAGCATACTAACGTCTTGATCTTTTAACTCCCAGCTGCTTGCCCTTTTGGTGTAAGTAAGCATACTAAACGTCTAGTATCCCTTGGCAAATCCTAATTCACTTTAAAACAATAGATCTAGATTGAAAAAAAGAATTATCATGATCCAAATTATATTATGAGGGTCTAGTATAAGGTGATTTAGTACAAGTGGCACAAAAGAATAAATGATCCAGTGGTTGTTCTGATGAAACAAGTGTATGATTTTGATGTACTTGTATATGTATAGGACGGACGTCTGGGGGAGCCATGGCCGCAATCTTGGATGCTATGGGACCCTACATGATGCAGCTGATAGCCGACATGGCAACAGAAGAGGTGAAGATGTTGCTGGGCATATCTGGAGATATTGAGAAGCTAGAGAACAACATGGAAAGTATCAAATGCTTCCTTACTGACGCTGAGAGGAAGCGCATCAATGAAGTGAGGGTGCAAAGATGGGTTCAGATGCTCAAGAACGTCATGTATGACGCCACTGACATCCTAGACCTATGTCAAATTGAAGCTGACAAGCAGAGGGAGTCGAAAGCTAGCAGCATGGTTGAAAAGGCTCTAGGTTGTTGCCGGCCATTGCTCTCCTGCCTACGGAATCCTATGTTCGCACACAAGATAGGCAGCCGCATCAAGGAGCTCAACCAGAGGCTGGACAACATATATGAAGAGGCTCACAAGTTCAACTTCATCAATCTAGGATCCCACCCGGAACAGAGGATGTCCACCGGAGAGAAGGTGACATCTGAGTTTGTTGAGTCAGCTATTGTTGGTGAGAAAATTGAGAGGGAGACAAGGGAGCTTGCTCAAATGCTAACCATCAATGGACACCACGACATCAAAGTGGTGGCCATTGTGGGCACAGGTGGCATGGGCAAAACCACCTTGGCCCAGAAGATCTTCAATGAGACCACCGTCCAAGGACACTTCAAAATGAAGATATGGCTAAGCATCACCCAACACTTTGATGAGGTTCAGCTTCTCAGGACAGCAATTGAGCATGCTGGGGGAGTCCATGGCGGGGTGCAAGACAAATCCCTCCTCTCACAGATGCTCACCAACACCTTGTCCATGGGTAGGTTTCTCCTGGTCCTGGATGATGTGTGGAGTAATGTAGCATGGAGCAATGTGCTTAGTGTTCCAGTCAGAAATGCAAGTAAAAATCAACAGGGCAATTGGGTGCTAATCACTACAAGATTAGAAGACCTAGCTCTACAGACCGGAGCCTCCTACCAACATCATGTCAGCCCACTCAACGAAGATGATGCTTGGTCCTTGCTCAACAAACAGTTGCCGCCAACACCTGGTCAAGTTAGTGAACACATATACCATTTATTTTGCAGTTTAATGCACATTATTCCCTTAACTCTATCTATTCAGGGCCTATTTTGACATAGTAGGTTTAGAAAACTATGGTATTACAAACTAGTTACAATATACAACTCCTAGTAAAGCCATAAGTACGCATCCAAATTATCGAGCTTTGTTGTTGAATCTAAAGTGACTCATGAATATGCATCTAAATTATCCACACTAATCCATTACGTGTCCACCTATACAGGTTTGAACCTTTGAGATATAAGTCTTAGAAGTTTGTGGAAATGTTTAGTACCTATATCTAATCAAATTGCTTATCTTTGTGCCTTTGTCTCTCTTTTATCCTTTATACATAATAACCATATAGATACTCTGTTACCTCTACCGAAGTGTGATAATTTGACTAAGTAATCTATATGTTTTTCATCAATATTCACTATTTCTTCCTTTTTGTATCACAAAACTATGTGTCCACAATAGTTATAGTCCATGATGAGCTACGATGTCATGGACTGCATCTTTTATCCTATTATTAGTCATTGTAATTTTCCATGCATATATCTGAAGTTGAAACTCTAGTTGTATATTCACCTATTAAGAAAAAAAATAGCAGATATTAGGGAATGACCCCCGTTACATGGAAGGAGCCACCTTGCAACAAGACATAAAAGCTTAAGAGATCCTAAAGACAACATCCACAGTGATAACCTAAACAACACATATTTGAGAATGATTTCCATGTAAAATCCCACAAAAGTGCCAGAAAGTTTTGATAATGGCTCATTGGAACATGGTGGACATTGTGTAACACACCAGCCCGTTAGAAGCATGTAGTTGTGTTGTTGGCCCATGCGTCCCATCTGCCAAATGAGGAGTTATAGTTGGTGCGTTTCGTACCACCTTGGAAGCTTAGGAGCGTGAGGGCACGTGAGGGCTAGCTTATAATCCTTTTCATTCCAATTGTAGCACCTCTGGGTTAACCTTTTTATTATACAAAGTGATGACGAAAGTGCAAGAGATGTGCTATGCAGACCCGTTCCACGTGAGGAGCTGGGCTGTAAGCAGATTTCGGACATATGGTGTTATAGGTAGTATTCAGAGCATCAACTCTTTTGGCATGTGACCAGGGAGGGGTGTACCAAGGGGTGGTTCTAGGCATCTGTTGTGTGTGGTTAGCTGCCGAGGACATCTGCCCTTCATGGGATGAATGTAACACCACAGCCTGTTAGATGCCTGTTGTTGGCCCATGTGGGTGAGGGCTTGTCATTCGAAAAATTGTATCTTTGGGTTAATCCTTTTACACAAATTGAGGACTAAAGTGCAAGAGAGGTGCTATGTGTATGCAGGCCCGTTGCACTTAAGGAACTGGGTCAAATAAGCAAATTATGGACGCAGAGTATTACACACTGTCATCGGATAATGGCACCAAAAACTTACTAGTGATGTCCTTGAAACTGTATTAATTATTGCTTCAGTCATTCAAAAATAATTCTCATTTTTTGTTTTATTTAAAAACTTGTCCGGACAAATGACACATCTTTTTTTCAAAACTCTTAGGCATTCTTTCATAGCAACGCACGGGCCTTCTTTCATATATTAAAGACCAAAAGGTTTCTTTATCTTTCATCAATCACAATTGCCCGATGGGATCAATCTATTCCATTTGTGTACAAGTTAGAGTAGGATGTCTAAGCATGATGCAGAGTCTATTTCCAAAACAAATTGGAATACAAAAGTGTTACCATGGTCCACCACATTTACCTATGTCCGTACAAGTTAAGTGTTTAGGCGTGGTGTATAGCCCGATTCCAAAATGAAATGGAACAAATGACATGATTGTTGAGAGTTTCCTCCCGTACACATATGAGTAAAAATATAGCATGTGTCAAGGCACAATATAGAGTTTGATTTTAGATGAATTGAAACACATGAAGTGATTACTAAATAGATATCCAGCACTACATGAGTAATCTAACTACACGACAAAGTTCCCATTGCAACGCACATGTATGTTTGCTAGTAATAACCTAAAGAAAACCCCTAATATGCATCCAAATTATCCATCTCTATCATCATGAAAATAACTAAATATGCATCTAAATTACCCATATTTTTCATTAGTAAAAATAATCTTGGTAACATAAACATCTGCATCTAAATTATCGACTTGTACGACTATAAAAAGGTAATAAATGTACCTCTAAATTTGCATCAATATTATTATTTTCTTAGTATTAAACATAATCTAAGGTCTCTTATAAGTCTCCAATAAATTACTCATCTCTCCCATCTACATGTAAGATTGGCCACTAAATCATAATTTGATTTTGGCAATTTATGCATATTTAAGGCATGCTTGATTGGCTCTTGAAATTTTCCATGCCAAATATTCAGTTGTGAAAAGTTGCACAAAAATATTTGTCATCGATTTGTCAACCTAAATATGCGATGTAGGCAAATTTAGGTAGCAAACTGAATGGAAACCAAAAATTTAGCGTCCATCAACAAATCAGCCAATGCATTGGGCGGAACTGCCATGGACAGCTCCCAATGTGAGGTGGGCCCACAAATTCCAAACTGAACCTTTTCTACTCCCTCTGTTTCATAAATAATGCAATTCTCACTTCCCAAGAAGTCAAGTAATTTAAATTTTGACCAAAATTATATAAGAAACAACTAACATTTATGATACAAAGTAAGTGCCATTAAATTATTACAGAATATATTTTCATAATAAATTTGTAGGGAGACATAAATACCAATATTATTTATTAAAATTTTGTCACTAGAGCTATTTCGGCTAGCGCGAATCCCACAATTGTTCTTTTTGTGACAGGGAATATTTATCATTTTAGCTTCTTCCGTCCGCACAGGCGGGGCAGCATATACAAAAGATTATATAGTATAACAAATCGGCTAACTGCTTAACATTATTTTACAAATTAAATATTGTAAATATGTTTTATGAGTGGAAATGGTTGTTTGTGTTGGTAGGTACATGGAACAAATCACCTGAAAGTTGTCGGGATGAAAATTATCAGTAAGTGTGGAGGTTTACCACTTGCTATCAAAGTGATGGGAGGATTGCTAAGTACGAAGCCCCGAAGCGAGGGTGATTGGGAGGCTGTTTTGAAGCATCATGCATGGTCAGTAGCTGGATTGCCTAAGGAACTGGACAACGCGATCTACTTGCGCTATGAGGATTTGTCTCCCCAGCTGAAGCAGTGCTTCCTATACTGCTCACTTTTCCCTAAAGGTACAACTATTTGGCAAAGTCAAGTTGTTCCGATGTGGATCAGTGAGGGATTTATCCATCGACCAGACAGAAGCAGTTGTTCATATGATGATTGGCTAGAAGAAATAGCAGATGGGTATTACCAGGAGCTAATCACGAGGAATCTTATTGAACCAGCAACAGAATCAGCTCTCACTCGATACTCATGCACCATGCATGACGTGGTGCGATCTTTTGCAGAGTTTATGTCTAAAGAAGAATCATTGGTCGTCCAGGATCAGCAAGATGATGGTGGTAGCAAGATCAGCCATGTACGTCACTTGTCTATAGGATCAACCAAGTCAGCACTAGAATGGGATATTCTACAGAAGCACAAATCAGTAAGAACATTAATTATAAATAAAAGAATTAATGTTCAGCCTAGTGACTCATTTGGGAGATTGTCTACCCTAAGAGTGCTTTTTATAAGGGGTACTGATTGTGATAGTTTGGTTGACTCTCTATGTCTTCTGAGGCACCTGAGATACCTCCACTTCCAGGATACAAATATATCTAGGCTACCTGGAGACATTCATAGGATGAAGTTCTTGCAGCACATTATGGTTGATAGATGTCCACAGCTAGACCATCTTCCTAGCTGCATTACACAGCTTCTGCATCTAAGAACTCTTAGCATGTATGGTTTCCATGACAATGTTTTAATACCCAAGGGGTTTGGTCAGTTGAAAAATCTAAGAACACTTTTGGGGTTTCGAGTACATTTGGACAAGAATGGGGGCACGGGCTGGTGCAGCTTGGAAGAGATAGGGCCTCTGTCCCAGCTTAGGAAGCTTTCTTTACTAGGTCTAGAAAATGTGCCTGCTAGCTCGTCGGCTGGAATGGCCATGGTTAGTAGCAAGGAGCACCTTGATTACTTTGTACTAGAGTGGAGTAGCAGCGGATTCATGGAACTGAGGGATGAAATCAACAAGCAGCAGCAGCAGAGAGTAGTGGAGGAGGTAATTGAGGTGCTCAGCCCTCCATCCAGCATTCGGCATCTACACATTGAAGGATACTTTGGTAGCCGGCTACCAAATTGGATGATGGTTCCAGCTACATGGGTCTTTAAGAGCCTGAGGCTTTTAAGGATGGACAAACTTTGTTGTTGCACCCAACTCCCTGACGGTCTGTGCCAGCTCCCTAGTTTGGAGTCGCTAGACATTGGTGACGCACCTGCTATCAAGAGTGTTGGGCCTGAGTTCCAGTCACCCTCCTCCCTGGCATCAGTAGTAACATTTCCTAATCTGACATTTCTTCGTCTGGCTGGCTTGTGCGAATGGGAGGAGTGGGAATGGGAGGAGCAGGGTGAGGATGCAACAGTAGATGCCATGGCCATGCCTGCTCTCAAGGAGCTCACAATTCTTAGCTGCAAGCTAGCTTGTCTTCCACCAGGGCTCGCCAGTAGCAGGAGGCATGCTCTAAGAGAAGTGCGCCTGTACAAGCTGAGCAACCTGACATATATAGAGAACTTCCCTTCAGTCGTGCGGCTTAAAGTATTCGACTGCCCGGAGCTGAGAAGGATCAGCAATCTCTCCAAGTTGCAGAAAATCGACATCGCATACTGCCCAAATGTGAAGGTGCTAGGAGTCCCGTCACTTGACAGCATAGAGATGATGGACGGCACCATGGAGACGATTCCCGAATATCTGACAACAGTAACCCCAAGGTATTTCAAATTGACATGCAGCGAGAAGTTGTACAAGTCCTTGTTAACAGGCAGCAGCTCGTGTGAGTACCACAAGATCAGCCATATCAAGTCATGCGCTATCGACTACTTTGGCAGAAGATGAAGATTAATTGCTGCACGGCCATACCAGAAATAAATCACGTACTAATATTTTCAGGTAACAAGTGTTCCACATTACTTTTGGTTCACAGTGCAGTGCACCGCACCTACATGTGCAGTCGTAGTACTTACTTCGTAGTAGTACCGCTTAATACGCACTCAATTTTGAAGTATCATTATCCATTGATCCTGTATGTAACTAATATATATGCAGGGATCCTTATGGCCGAGCCGCATCCTGCTAGCTTGCAGAGGCCAGTACTCTGTTTTGCTCAATTGCTCTGCTTGATGCTGCCGGTGGGTGGGTCACACCCAGACTGTGTACAGAGGCCTACGAACGACATACGGAGGAATCATTGTAACCGGAGGCGCTCATGTATTATATTTCATCTACTATGTATGTTTTTTATTGAAGTAATGGACCTATGTATATTTGTACAAGTAATGGACCTGAGGTGCAGGATTTGTAATAAACAGGGAGCAGACATGGGAGCACCATAATGGTGATTATGATGTGCTCTGCTTTCTGACGCAGACAAGGCAAATGTCCAGAACGAGCCTTCCTTGTGAGTTGTGGATAACAGACGAACCAAGCATGGTGGCTTTGGTGGCCAAATCGACACTATTTGTCCGTCATTCTTTTTGTCTTAAATCGGTCGTTCTAACATTGTGAAGCAAAATCGTCTAAAAAAAACTTGTGAAGCAAAATGAGCAAAACAAATAAAAGCCACCCTGTATTGCCCGACAGACCAATCACAATTCCACTTGTAGAAGAAGATATCCGTCAAGTAGCATGTACATAATCTTTGTGAAAAAGAAAAAAGTAGCACGTACATAAGCCCATTCATGTAAAGCAAACAGATACTTGGATGACAACTACACTGAGTGAATTTTTTGTATGAGTCCTTGTTAATACGCAGCAGCTCATCTGAGTACAATAAGATGAGCCATATCAAGTCGCCCACTATCGACTACTCCCTCCGTCCCAAAAAGACCGTTGTTTTAAAAATAACCTGAACAAGCACCTGTCCAGATTTATTCCTAAAACAACAGTCTTTTTTCTGGAACGGAGGGAGTACAATCGCTGAAGATGAAGATTAATTGCTGCACGGCCATAACAGAAATAAATCACGTAGATATTCAGGTAACTAGTACATATTACTTTTGGCTCACAAGGCAGTGTGCAGTCGTACTACTTTACGCAGTACCGCTTAGTACGCACTTTATTTTTTTTCAATTTATCTCTATGCATGGTTCTTCAGTTATGGCCAAATAGTGTAACGGATTAACAACAGCCACAGTTAACGAGAGACTGCCCTCCTGGTGGCCCATCCAAACACGCCTGGTTGGACTGCGTAGATGTCAAAGTGTGTGAGCTAGGCCTTAAAGCACAGTCCGGTCCGCCCGAAGGAAAATCCAGATCAAGGCTGGATCCATTGAACCATCTACTGGGCCCAAGAGCAGATAGGGTGTATTGTTGTGTTGCAGGGCTCATAATCTGCTCGACGCTACCCAGGAACTCCGATGTTGGCGCAGGCGGCTGAATGAGCGCCTCCAGCAACATAGGATCCACGCCCATGCCCCCTGCAGGCCCCGACTCATCTCTGGGAGTTCCATCACGGGGAGGGGCTCGGCGCAAACCTCGCGCACGCCCTACGTGTGTATGTACACAATTAATGGAATGGAATCCAACAAAACATGCCAGCTTAGAGCATCGGCAGTGTGTGTCCAAGCCAGTTCTATGCATTTAATGCATGTATAGGACCCGGTACGTTACATTGTGGCGTGGTTTCGATGGAGGAGCAAGTCCAAGATATAGAACCCACCCCCTTTGCAATAAAAAATATATCACTCTGACTCATGACAAAGCTCCAACGGTTTCAACTGCCATGAGCTGATGAGCATTTAGATTTCAACGGTCAAGTGAAATGCAGCATCAAGTGAAATGCAGCGTCACTTGACCATTGCCTTAAAAAAATAGTGTTCCTTGTTGCTTGCTACAGCACAGCGCTTCTTCAAAAGGAGCCCTAGCAGCCTGCTTCCTTCCTCCCAACAATCCCCCCTGCCTCCTTGTTCCCAGTGGCCTCCTCCTTTGCTCCCATCAATCTTTCCCTGCCTCCTTGTTCCCAACAGCCTACACAAAAATAGAGAAGCAAAATCAAAACAACTCAATACTCATATTTCTTAGTTCATACGGAGCCCTCAGAGGGAAGTTTTGGTAGGTTGCTCGCCACTGATCCCAGAAATCCAAGAGCAGATAACACATGCTTCCAGCACATGCCAAATTTCGCACCCAACACTTTCAACCAGACTCAGTTCCCCACCCCACCACCACCATTCAACCACTCCCATTATCCCCAGCATAGTCAACCTACTCATGCCATGCACAACTTGAATCCCTTCGGTGGTGTAGGCAACCTCCAACAGTATGCCCAGTGTTCACCAAGTTATCAAGGTTTTCAACCACTACCCAACTTTAGCTTCCCAGGTGGGATGTTTGTAGATGCTGTTGGTGGTGCATCTTCGCATGGCTTAGATTCAGTAACCCTGCAATCGCAAATAGGAGAGCTGGAGCAAGATGAAGAAAAGGAAGATTCAAGCGCCAGCAACCCTGATGAAGGGAGGAGGGCTGTGAGAATTAATTACATTGAGGACGAGAACCTACGCCTTGTAAGTCTTTGGATTAAACATTCAGTAGATCTAATTCGTGGCATAGATCAGAGCAGAGAGGCCTACTAGAACAAGATAGCAAAAGCATTCAATTCGGGCCTGGCTGAAGGTGCAAGAAGAATGTCAAAGGGATAGCTCAAAAGCCATTAGGGAAGAATTAATGCAGTTATTACCAAGTTCAATGGGATCTATGGTCGAATGACCTTTTGTAGTGAGGAATATGATGACATGCTGATGGACAAAGCACGTGCTGCATTCAAAAGAGAAAACAAGAAAAAGCTATTTACACTTGAATATGTCTGGAAGATTATGAGGAAGGAACCCAAATGGTATAGAAGTATACGGTATACCTGGTATGGATTGTTCAGAGAAGAACAAAAGGACAAAAGTAGATGAATCTGGAGCATACACTTCATCTTCCAACCAAGACACAGACAAGGGGGAGACATTCAAAAAAGTACGCCCAGAGGGGCAGAAGAAAGCAAAAGCTAGGATGAGAGGAAAAGGAAAGGGAAAGGCCATACCACAACCTCCCCTTGGCTCGCAGCCAAATGAAGACATGGTTTTGTTTCACGATGCTATGTTGAAGAGAGCAAGTGCACTAGAGAAAACAGCGGAAGCATCAAAGGAAAAGGTTAGAATGGAAAAGATAGGAAAGTACATGCAAATTTCGGATGAGAAAGCACATATTTTTACAAATTGTGGAAGCATTAGAAAATTGGTCCCCCGTATTTTTAGTTAAGGAGAGATGCATTCGGTAAGGTTGGTCTTTCACCGCTGCAGAAATGCACGGCCGCCCTCCGAATGTTAGCATATGGATCACCAGCAGACCTTATGGATGAAGCATTTGGAATTGCTGAAACCACAGCTTTAGAGTGTGTAATCAAGTTTGTTCAAGGTATTAGACACATATATGGGGAGAAATATCTTAGAAGACCTAATGGTGAGGATATCGAATGGTTACTTCAAGTTGGAGAGGCACGAGGGTTTCCAACATTGGGAAGTCTAGATTCCATGCATTGGCGATGGGGAAATTGCCCAGTTGCATGGAAGGGACCGTTTACCCGTTGTGACTATAAGATACCCACTATCATACTCAAAGCTGTTGTCTTCTATGACCGCTGGATTTGGCATGCCTTTTTTGGCACACCTGGTTCGCACAAAAAAAAAGAAAAAAAAAGATGAAAGTGAAATGGAGGCGGATAGATTACTTGCAACAGCTAAAGCAGTAGCAGCTGGAGGTGGAATCTGACAAGCTCGACTCCAACGGGCCAGATTAAAGTAGATTCTCAAGACAAAATGACGCAGCTATCTACTGCACTTTTTGATATCGCAAGTAACATGATCTAGTCTTACCAGCTCTTGACAGAGATCCACAGTGCCTGCTTCCTTGGCTTCACAGAGAATCAGAGTTGAGCCACAGATTCCAAAGGAGAGCAAGGAGAGTCTTCGTTCCATCATGGCAAGTTGGCAACATGCTCGTCACAGCCTTCAAATAGTAACCTCTAAAACTCAGTAGTACTGGATTACTATGTTACTGTAACATGCTACCGTAATTGCTTGAGATTGCTGACTCCTTTGCCTGAATCATATTAGGCCTGTCTGTCTATCAGCAGTTCAGTAGCACCTGAACCTGAATCTTTGCAAACTTGGCAGGCCATCAGATAAAAAAAAATCGACTGACATCTGAGATACTTTTTTTTTATTGCCGACGTCAGATGCATAGAGTCATAGACAGCATGACGGCATGACACTTTCATTCGTCAACGTTGCCTGATGAGCCACCACCTATTCAAAATTAATGCAGGAAACAGTATGTGTTATGGATGTACCTAGAAAGATGTAAATCTAGATTTGGTCAGAGTCAAACTAATCTTAATCTGACTGAGTTTATGTAAATAGTATCAGTGTTTAACACTCCAAGCAGGTATATTATGAAGATATATTCAATGAAAAATCTCATGAATGCTTACTTAGTAGTATGATAAGCAGTAATATATTTTTATACAAATTTAGTCAAATTTTTTTGTCTAATGCTATTTTGAGAATTGAATCCATTTTGGAACGGAGGTAGCAGTATATTGTCGTCGAGCCTTGGCTTGAAGGACCGTTAGTAGGATACCATAGTATATATCAAGACGCACATGCTTAAATTAAAATGACCATATCACAACACACACGTCATTATAATTAAAAGTGATGACTGATCAGATATGGCTTGGAGATATAATTCAGAGAGTGCGGCATATATAAGCCATGTTTCAGCCTTGCCAATAGTACCAGCACATGAAAGTAGTAGATCACGGTAAAATGTCTGCTTGCTCTGCATAGATTCTTAAGATAAAGGTATAATTGAATTTGCATCCAACGGGGGTATATGCTCTTAAGGGCAAATTTTCTGCATTCCCAAGACAAAATGCAGCTGCTATATGCCTATATCCTGCACTTTTTGTCATGGCAAGGAACATACTCATACCAGCTCTGATCTTAACCAAGGTTTTAAATCTCCGGCTATAGCCTCCGCTATCTCCGGCTATAGCTGTTTGAGAAGGATTTAGCTAAGTTTTTTCATGTACAAGTTAGCCCTTAGCTGCCGCTATAGCCCGCTATAGCTGGCTATAGCCTGTTTTCGGACATTGAAAGCTAAATGGCTTAGCCGGCTATTTAAAACCTTGATCTTAACTGATCCACAATTGGGTCAACATACAGTGCTTGCTTTCTTAGCTTCCTTCCATGGCTTCACACTTCAGCGTTGGGCTTTCTTCCTTCCATGGCTTCAAAGCTCAAAGTTGAGCCACAGACCAGATCCATTCCAATTTCCAATGCAAGCAGAGAAAGGAGTCCACATCTGCAACATTATCGTACCAACCTTCAAATAGTAACCTCTGCAATTAACAGTAATAGACCTGGACTACTGAATTGTGAATTCAGATATTATCAATAACTGGTGAGGTGAGTTAGTACATAGCTAGGTATGTCTGCATAAGTACCACCTAAATCCTGCACACATGGCATGAGTTTAGATAATGAAGGACCAAAAACGGCGACCAGATGGGGGGTGAATGAGAGCCTCAAATTTCTTTCGAAATATTTAGCCGTTGTCCCAAAATCAAATCCTAAAAGCAAACGCACGCAAGATCGACTTCATGAGCGAACAGGGGGCTGGGTACCTCCGGTGATGACCACAGAGTACTTCGAAACAATCGAGAACCAACGGAAACAAGCACACGATGGAACGCGAAAAATCAGCACACACTGGACAGGGGCGGACAGTCTGCGGTCTAGGCCCGGACTATCTGCAGGTCCACTCCCGGACTGTCTGCAGTCCAACCCGGACTGTCTAGCGTTCAAACTCTGAAAAACGACTGAGAGAAAATAGTTCTGGTCCCGACGTGCACTGCAGCGGCAGACTGTCCGCACCCTGAGCCTGAGCTGAGCCACGCTTCCTGGACGAGAACGACGGGGACCGAGCAGTCGCGGGTCTGCTCACTGGTGCCCAACCCTGATACCTCGATGCATCCAACAGAGCACTCGTGCGCAAGGAACAGAAAGGGGCGAGGAAAAGAATGAACGGGAAACTAACAGAAGGGCCGGAGGAAAACAGGTGCTCGCCTGGAGGATTGATGCACGCTGCTGCCAAAGCAACTTGGCCAGGAGATGCACACGACCAGGATGCTAGCACTGGCAGCTCACAGGTGCCCTCACGGAACCACAGCAAGAACCTGACGAAGAACAGTAAAGAACGAACAGGAAAGGCGGCACCAAGAAATTCAACCAAATCCTACCCAAACCTCCATGATTCGTCCCTAGAATTTTCACAGGAGAAATTCGACTTGCTTCAAAACTATCCCCAAGAAATCATCGCCTGGGATTAACCCAAACTCCGGGAAAAATTCAGATTGTAGACAAGAACGAGTTTTTCTCCTCAAAAGCGAAAACCAGATCGATCTACGAGCTCGTGCCAAATTGATTTGAATCACTGGAGGGATTAGTTCAGCACATGTCCTATCTCGTCATGGATCAACTAAAAACTCCCCAAAACATCTCAATCCAAAAAGATGAAGCAAGAAAGGGGAGGGAGAAGGACGACGAACATAGAACGGCAAACACAAAAATACACAGCTCAAAGAGATGAACCCCAGAGGGGAACGTGAGGTAAGGGCCTCACTTCCCAGCAAATCTCATGTTCCAAACTCGAATTACACAGATGAGTGAATAATCTGTGGACCTCTCTCAAGAACACTAAAGGGAGGGGCAAACCTAGGGCAAGGAGAAAATGAAATGGGAGAGGTAAGGGTGATTGGGCACCCTCGTCCTATTTAATATGGCTATTACACAATCTCAATTTTGCTGTAGATACTTTTGAGTCGAACCACTTAACCCAGGGACGTTATGGTCTAACCCGAGATAGTCTTCATCCGATGGCCACCGCGCCCTTCATGAGATAGTTTCGCCTCGACACGAACTCCTCGATGCCGCCACGTGCCGTCCGTTCCTCCTCGGAACCTCCGCCCAGGTTTTGAGGCCAAACCCGCGAAACCGTCACCTAGTGGTTTTGAGGCTCAAGCCACCAAACCGCTGCGAGTAGCGTACTCCATCCTCGACCGCCCGGGCTCCATGTCTTCCAGAGCCTCGCTCGACTTGCACATCCGCCTTCTTGACTCGGTCAACACGGTCACTCCTCCATGTACACTTGCGCTTGTCGATGTCCCCAGATGTCAGCCATCGCAGCTGGTCACCCGGCCTCCTGGTCCCTCGGTCCAAGCCTCACGTCCGTCCTTCACCGCTCCCGGTCCATCGACACGGCACGTCCCTACTTGACATTCACCTTGCCGTCAACCACCGCCTCCAAGCTCCACACCTGCGCACCACAAGCCAAGAGACATGTTGCACAACCCAACTCACGCTATGGTTAGTTCACAAGCTCAACCCAAGACGCAAGTCACGTTGACAATTACTCATCACAAATCCGAACCATAAGGGCACATATCTATCAACCATGTGTTCGCAGATAAAAGATTTGACTTTCCGCACAACAACAAGGCTTGAATCGGCTTTCTTCAGAGATATGGTTCAGTTGTCACACACACATTTTCTGCTTGCCAAAATCAGATGCCCATGAAACGAAATGAATTGACCCTTGCTTCATTCATCGGTCTTCAGTCTTCACTGATGAGGTGAGGCGTGTTGGTCCCTGGCTGCCCTGCATAGGTAAGCAACTAGCTTACCAGCATACACACTCACTCACTATGGCTAGAGATAGAAGAAGAGATTGAGAACAGCGCACACACACTCAGCACAAGCACAAGCGTTGGCCGAAGCCCTGTCCTTTGGTTTGTGGCAACTGAACTGAGTATTACATTGCTCTTTGGATAGAATATATACAACTCTAGCTGTACCTCTACCAAGTACATAGTTGTTGGACAACTAACTACTCCTGAGTACAAGAGTACACCAACTACCTACTCCTAAGGTACATAGTTGTTGGCCAACTACCTACTCCTGAATACAAGAGTACACCAACTACCTACTCCTAAGGTATAGGATATACCAACTAATCCTAGCAGTACAAAGCTTACCTTAGCCCACTACCAAGACATGGCTAATGTAATAGCTACCAACTAATGTACTAGAGGTGGCCTTTTGCAACACTGTTACAGTATAGGAACTGGTCAGGAACTGGTCGGCAGAGCCTATCAGTCCCCAACTCCCAACAGGGAGTGGTCGGCCGAGCCGACCAGT